ATTACCTTGTAATACCCTTCATGGATCACCTGTTTTATGCCGCATGCTTGCTTGACATAAAGTAATAAAAATGGCTTCATTTTTGCACACATCAAATACTGAATGAAGGAATAACTAAGCAGATGTAGAATTAAATATAATTTCAAATTTGTGCAAATACGATCTAATGTGCCTCTGACGTACGAGAACGTTTTTTTTATTCTCCAAATTTTAATCTTGACGTCAAAGAAAAGCTGAAAGCCGACCAACAGAATTAAATCTAAAATCGCAAAAGTTTCAAGGAAACACTATCTCTTCACATCTTACTCTTAGCTGATCTGTTTGTGTCACTAACACATACCTACTTTTGCCCTTCGTAACGTGCCTCTAACCTAACTTACAGTGCCCAAATCCTTTTCCCTCCCTTCCTCTTTGTGACAGAGATTTCTGGCCAACCACGCTACCGAATCACCCAGGGTAAGCGCCGTGTGTATCTCTGAGCTACTGAAGCAATCATGCAAAGCCCGGACTAATCCGTGACACCGGTTAGCCATCCCCCAAGACAGACCAGCTCTGACAAGGCCCTGCTGCCCTGTGCCTGGTGCTACACCCATCACCGCTAACGTCTTTATCAGCGGGACAGATGGATTGCAGGTGAGCATATTCTCCTGGTCATCATAGAGAAAAGAGGGGAGCAAAAAAAGAGAGAAGGAAAGGGGAAGCAGAGAGAAAGACAGACAGGCACAGAGAAAGAACGTGAAATTGAGTGAGAAAAAAAAAATACAGAGACTGGCTGTCAGGCAGTTTGAGTGACAGGAGTGATAAGGTCCATCATGGTCTTGTTATGAGCAGCAGGGGGAAATAGGCCCAGTCAGACATGGCGTGGAATTAGCAGAGCCAGAGAGGTGAGGAGGCGAGACGAGGAGTGCAAGAGCAGAGGAAGAGAATGAAGGGAGGATCAGGATATTGGTGGACAGGGAGGAATGAAATAACAGGGAAGGAAAGAGACGTGAAGGGCAAAAGGTGCTCGAAGACAAGCATGTCACCGTCTGCTCCGATACTAGCATCAACTGGTACAAAAGTTTAACAATATCCACAAAAGTTCCCTAGTACAATGTGAGCAAAACAATGTAATATCAAATTCAACAGAGCAGTAACCACAAGGATATAACACTAGCAGCGATTGGTAGATAACATTTATCAGGAGAAATATTCACCTTTGTTACATACATATCTGGCCTTTCAGATGACACAGCTACCAAGGGATTCCATATAATTTTTTCTTGTTTCCTCTCCTCATAAAAACAGGATTAGACCCTTGCTATAAAAATTAATCAGGTCAGAGCCCAATCCCCTAGAGAAGCACAATGTAATAAAATTCCTAGTACTGTAGGAAAGGATACCTTAGCTTATGATTTTAAGGAATGTAAGATAGATTTCACTGAATTATCCATCCTTAAAAAGAACTTACTATGAGGAAAAGAAATGGCAGTTTGGCAGGCTGTTCAGCTAATTTTTAGATGCTTTATTAAAGGTTTGAAGCATTCTATTTCAGCGTTACATCAGTCATTATCAGAGCAGCTTGTATTGCAACATTTAAAGGTATATGAGATTCAAAACAATATGGCATTTGCCTTTATTATATAGTAGCAGTGCAAGAGTGACAGCAAAGTGGGAATGGGGGGGGGCGTGCAGTATATAATGGTACTCTAGTGTGACCTCCTTCATCTAGCCTTTAACATCACTTAAGGAGCTTTTTACTCCTGAAGAGCTGCTTAAAAGTTGAATTAAAATTGAACCTACTTATTTCTGTCAGTCGGAATAACAAAAAGAAAGAAGAAGTTTTATCCCTACAGTAGTCTTCTCCAGGGGGCGTATGTTCTTGCTTCTAACTGACAATGATGGTAGTGATTTAATTGGTTTAATAGTAGTATCACTTGAGTTAAAATGGCCTGTTTAATATTGTAAACAGACAGATGTCCATTTACACAATGCTGTGTGCTTGTTGATGGAAGAGAGAAAAAAAAGGATGCTAACAATGCGCCTCCTAGCAAGACCGGCTCTTAAATGTCAGTCAGCTTATGTCCTGGAAAATGCCCATCCAGAAGCCCTGAAGCTCATACAAACAGCATACAAACATGCACAACAGCTGCTGGGGGGAGAATTAGAATTTAAGTGTGAATTTAGGTTGCAAAGCCATTAATGAAGGCTTCCTTCAAAGCTGTTGTCCTGCATGGATGTCTTCATACTGCTTCGGCTCTACGATACAAGGATAATAACACAAAAAATAACACAAAGAAAATGAGAAAGCAGGGCAATAGGAGCAACAACTAATACCTACTGTTCAGGAGATGATTATTATTCCTCTTCAAATCAAACAAGCGCTGCTTGTAATTCTTTCACATGAAGTATAACTTCAACAACTTCAATGCAGACACATGAATTAGGGAGGAAAGGGGAACAGATTTCCTGCTGGCTGATCTGAGGATCTGAGCAGGAGTGGAGTGGTGGTCTGAGGCAAAGACTTCACAAACTATGAATAGCTGTCTCCGTATGCATAGAGCTGTGGTAGGTAGGTCTGAAGAAAAACAGAGGCACGCTATGTGAGGATTATGTTTGCCGAATTCAAACAAAATGTCAACTTATAAAGCCCAGGTACACTGAATTTAATGAATAATTACAGGAAGAAACATCTCTTGAACATTAATTTCTTCTATTTCCTCTCTATCCTTCTATGTTGGACTCTTTCTACTCATCTTTTCACCACTCTCTCTATCTTTCTCTGCTTGAGTTCTGCTCACAAGTTGTAAGATGGGCTTTTAAGTTTACATCTGGTCTGCAGGAGGTGGTGTCTTCAGAAAAGACTACTCAAGATTCTTCTGAAGGAAGAGATTTTGGAAAAGTTCTATGAAAAGACTAGAGAAGATTTAGTTTAATAATTTATACGATGAAAGTTTGAGAGTTTCCACTGACACAAACCCTGCACAAACACTCACAATACGATGGTGGTTATCTGAGAGGTCATAGATGATTCATGGGCATGTTGGGAGCGGTCAGGGAGAGTGGAGGTTATACGATTTATACAGGGAGCTAAGCGCCTTCAAACACTTGTTTTTTAAAAGCTCCATTTCTCCGTGCCGTTAAACGGATCTCTTCCAGTGAGAAATGAGAACATTAACTGGGACGCGGACATGGTGCACTCTGCACGGCCCTGCCGAGCCCTCTGAGCTGTAACATTTCACATCTGAGCTGCGCTCCTTACAAGCTCCCCTGACACCCCAATGCATCATGGGAGGGCTGTAGGGGAGGTTTGGCTGAGGCAAAGCGTGATGTGTCTCAAAACCTTACAACAGCTGCAAGCGTTTCCATTAAGAACAACACAACTCAGTGTTACAACTGCACCTTAAGGCGCAGGTAAGGTCTTTTTCTACAGGACCTCATTCATTTTTTTCTGTTTTCTCACCTGCAGAGGTGAGAAGTGGGGTGAAAAGGGAAAAGAAAATAGCCATGGTAGCAGCTTATGACAAATCCATCATGAGGTGGCACAAAGTGCGATTTATTGTGGGCTATTTTCTATTTTTTGTAAATGTACATTTTATTCTATAGTGTGACTGGCAGGCACCGGTTTAGTTAGCGTTCGACAAATGCCTTAAGGCATTGCTGACTAAACAAACCATCACTGAACCACAACACGTCTACTCCCACTCCTGCTCACAGATTCCCTTATCTTGCCTCTGCACCCATATCCCCTAGTTACACTGATGTGTTATTACATGTCACATATGTTCTTTGCACACACACCTTGTGATCAGTGCATTCTGTAGCAGCAGACAAGGACGCAAATATATTTTAGATGAGAAAGCTAAAGGTCACACTGAGTTGGATAAGTCCTTGAGTGGGTGAAAACACACATGCACATGAAATGTGTGGGTGGGGGAATGTGTGGGGGCAATTGAGCGTGGTGCAGGTGACTCAACTCCAAAAAGGTTAGCTGTGTGGCTGTGTATCTGTCAAGCAGTCCCTGCATAAGCCATTACTACAGTATGAAGATTAAAGTCTGATTACATTAATAATATTCATTCATTCTAACCCTGTATGACTGTAAATTCTCAAATACCTTAATGGAAAAGAGAACCAGGCCTTTATTCATAATCACAAAGATCTCTCCAGTGTTTTTCCTAGAACTTTTTTCGGCAACGAATAGTGACCCTTATTCATGCGTGTCGGAGTAGCTTAAAACATTAGCATTTTCCCTAGGTTTGTGAAAGACTAATGTGCACATCTTTGCTGGGGGGTTTAAGGGTTCACCTCCAAGATAAAATGGTTTTGCTCTTCTCCCGACTGGCTTCAGTAAGAGTTTGACTATATACTACATCATATGGTTCACTGACTTGATGGGTTGAAGTTACATTTAGGTACTTTTTAAAAGATCCTGCCACTTTTCAAACAGTTTCCAATGACGACTAATAATCACTGGTCAATTGTAATAGACATAGCAATAGAGCATTTTCATAAAGTGCTGGGGGTCCCTGACAGTGGCTTAATGCTGACTCAAAGAATGACAAAGTGAATTAAAACAGTATTTCTGTTAAATATAGTAACTCAGAGCAGCAGATTGGTGAGTATGACATGACTGTGTTGTTGTAATGGTGGACAGTGGGAATGTACATTATTCTAAATTTAGTATATAAGCCATTACTGTGCAGGTAACATGGCCCCACAATAACTGGTCAAACACATGGCTATTATTCTGGCTATTTTTTGAGGATGGACAATTTATGGTAATTATTATCATATCGGTCTGTTAGGGCAGTGATTGTAATGTATGTATGCCACCAAGGAATAGGAACCATCCACTGTAATGTCAAACTCACCCTGACCTGTGAGCTTCTTGGAGGGCTAAACATTTTTCAAATTTTCTCACATAATGTCTGTAGAAGCTACAGGCAAGTGACAAGGGGATTAAAAGGAAAATGCACCATTCAAAAGACGTAGAGAGGAAATATCGTGATGCTTCTCACCAGCGGATGTGTGAACTCAGGGGCATGGTCGTTCTTGTCTGTGATGGTAATGGTAGCCGTGGCTGTTCCTGTTAGGCCCACCTCACTTCCTGCCATGTCCTTGGCCACAATCTCTAGCTCGTATGTTGTGGTTGGCAGTGTCTGTAAAATAATGAAAAACAGTGGCGCAGAGTTTAAAAGGAGAGATATAGTCATACACAGAGGATACAAGAAAATGTGAATTAAAAAGCGTGGCTTGATGAATGGAGAGAAAGCAAGAATAGTGAAGAAAGGACTTTACCAAGAATGCTACCAAGAAGAAAACAGGTAGACAGACAGGTAAAGACAAACTTCTGCATCGGAGGGACTAACACACCATCACACACACCTTTAGAAAATAAGTCAAAGTGTTACAGTGAAACATCCTCGGTGATTAGCAAAATCTATGAATATCAGAGAATCTATTTGAGAGGTGAATCATGGAAAAATCATTATTAGATCAATGATTAGCCACGTAAGTGATTAAATTAATCTACCTAAAGCAAAAGCGAACACTTATCGCTCTGTTATACATTACTGTACGACTCTTTAACAAGGCTTAAAAGCTCTTATAATAGTCCACTAGAGGCTTGAACCTACCATTAAAATGACTGGATAACAGCTGAAAAAAATCCCCATAGTGTAAATATGCACCCTCATGCTCACATACCAGTGTTAAAAGCTCCAGTAAACACTCCACATCTCTAGGGAAAGGTTAGAATCCACATTTTGAAATTCATACATGTAAGAACAGAGAGGGCGGTAAAAGAAAGAGAAAAAAGGGTCCCTAAAGCTATGCACTACAGGATCAAAGTATAAGCATACTACGTAAGGTTTATGCTCATCCATTTTAAAAATCCCCAAGGACTCAGAGCTGGATTTTATACACATCTTCCACAATGCTTTGGGGTATAGAAGATCAAGGTTTCGAGGCCCTGTCTGAAAATATACAAACTATTTTTCTCAGCATAATCTGTACAATCACAGCAATCATTCAGGGACTTTGAGATTTTGTGGCATTTTAGAATCAATACACCTATTTTTAGATATTTTTGTTGTTGATTCGAGATAAAAGAAATTCAGGATTAATAAAAGCCAATTCTGAACCCATGCCATTTATGCTCAGCACAAATATAGTCCTATGATTCTATGTTCCTACACAGGCCAGGGAGAGGGATCTGTCCTTGATTACAAAGTAGCTTTCCCGAAGCAAAAATCTCCAAATTAGATATGTAATTCATTTACTGGCCTGCCAGCATCTGTAATCTATATAACAATTGGAGAAACATAGCTCCATATACACGGAGAGGATGGCATTCATAATGATCACAGCAGCAATAATCATTTGTTGCCATAATTCATGCGTAATAGAAATGTTGACTCTGGTGTATAAATAACAGGAGGTGGGGGCTGGTAAAGCCAACATTTATTTATCCGCTGCAGCGTTTTCTCTCTACTGGGGGTGTTAACTGTCACATGCTTAATAAACTTCATCCATCTGTCTCACTGGAAATGCTGCTGGAGCTCTCCCCTGCATTGTAGATTCACCTCTGAGTGCATGTATATACTCCTCTCATCGACCTCTGGTACAAAACACAAACACATACCCTGGAACACACAAAGAAAAAATAAATACATCTGCTGCCATTTGCTATACAAAACAGCAAATCATCCAAAAATGTAATTTTATGTAACAGATAATCACAGGAATTCCTTCGCTTTTCCTTGTTTTGTGTGTCAGACAAACAGGGTTTTAATTAGGCCCTCGTTTAACACACTACCTAAAATGCCTATAGGAGGGCATTTATGGGCCAGCTGATGGCCGCTAAGGTCCCGCTCCAGCTGAGTCTGTTTTACAGTGTAGTTACACTGTAGACAACTGTTCAAGCTCCCTGTAAAAGTGCTTTGTTAGCGAGTGAAAGATTAATTTCAATTTCAGGTCAGTTTTACAGCATTGCACAGTGGGATTAAGCAGTAGTAAAATAGTATTAGTGATGTACTATTTGTGATTTCATGTTTAATTTTCTTCTTTTCATTCATGGCAGCTCAAGGTCGGCAATAATAAAAGCCAGTTTATAACTGTTTCGAATATTAATCTCCTTTGAGTGCATTTACATTGCAGTTTACTGCTATACTCACTGTGTTTGCATCATTTTCTCTGCCTCATCATGTCCCTGATCTTTATACCCGTAGACAGTCAACCTGATTATTGTCGATGATATTGTTTACTGACAAAGAACCGTGACCCAATATCCCCTCGCGCTGTACACAAATCCTCTGCTCTACTCAGTGTCAAACTGAGCGGCGGAGGCAGTTGTCAGTATGTTCTACTTTTGCCTGCTCTCATCATAGATAGCGCTCTAATCAATCTAATCTGAGGCAGGCAGGAGGAGATCAAACGATCAATGGCTAGACACCTTGAGGCTGGTTTTAATTATCACATCAACTAGAACTTAGACACAGTGCAATGCTATTCACTGAAATGACATATTGAGGTCAGGAGCAACATAACATATGGAAGACTTGGGGTCAAAATCTTAAGTATACAGACTAAATATTCATTTTAAAAACACTATGCTCAAGAGTGGACCTGAATGGAAAATAGGTTAGCATCCTTTCATCATTCACACAGAACCCAGCATGTCAAGTTAAATGTATCAATACATAAAATATCTTGAACACCAAATGAAGTAAAGACAGAAGGCAATATGAATGCTTTTAACTGTCTGTTTTTATTTACAACTTTATGTACCAGCGCAGTGGCTAGTGCCGCCCCCTGTCATAAACTCCATCCATTTAAGTAGCTGCTCCACAGGAGATTGTGGGAAGAGTAAGACCATAAACAGGTGTTTCTATCAATAGTGTGTCACACATAGTGGGTGACAGGGGTGTCCCTCACAACCAGCTCCTGCTCGATCAAACACTGTGCAGCCAGATGGTGCTCCGCGGACCTGTGACTTTATTAAACCCATGCACACAATCACACATGAATAAACACACATGCTGACTCTAAAAGCACACACACACCTGCACACAGACATACACTTTAGCCCTCCAGCTGGAGAAGAGAAGGGCTCTGGGATACCTGCAGTCTCAGTGGTGTCTAAACACATTGAGTGTGGCCTCCTCTGGCGACTGACAACGTCTTAATGAGTATTTCCTGAGTCTCAACTCAATTATAAACTCCCTGGCAGTACCTGGCCAAGAAAAGATGTTCAAATTCACTCCGGGCGAGAGTTACAGCAAAAGGGAAGTTTCCCTCCAGTTGTCAGAAAACATCTACTGGCATACTGTTGACTGAAATACTCCTCTCACTCAGCCCCTTCATTTTTCAGCTCCTTGTTACATTGACTGGAAACACTAACAGCAGTAGTGTTATAGTCAAGTAACATTTTGGGCATTTCTCTTGTGGGCTAGTACTGAATCAAATGAATGGTAGCATGTTCATGAGCATTAGTGGTCAACCTATAGTAATACTCTCTTTATGTATCTATTCTGTGTCTTTCCATACTGTCGTTTTTTAAGACTAGAAGAGTAATCCAGCACAGGATCACGTCATAATCAGTGGTATTGTGATTGCGATCAAATTGTATTATTATTTTATAAAATAATTGACTGCAAATGAGTGGTTTAAAGCAAGTTGTAATGGAAATCTAATAAAATGAGTTACTGAAGTGCTTGTTGTACATGCATGAAGAGTTTTGTATTGCATAGCAGGGGAGCACAGTAAAATGCATTAAACATCAGTTTGATTACTTTGTATGTGTTGCATATATTTGCCATACTGATTTACATATGGAAACAAGGTTAAGAGTCTAAGAACCTTTATCAGGATGTACTTAGGCACAGCAGTGCTTTGAGCTAAATGCTAATGTCAGCATGCTCACAATGTCAATGCTAACATGCTGATGTTTAGCAAGTATAATGTTTACCATGTTCATCATCTAGTGTGTTAGCATTTCTTAATTGGCACTACACACAAAGTACAGGTTAGGCGGATGGGAATGTCATTTGTTCTACAAACTGCATCATTAAAAATGGACATAGTCTATGGGGTGCCGTTTGTAAAGCAGCTCACACTGAAAATAACAGCAACATTTTGTCACATTTAGCTTCAAACAATGTTTAAAAAACTGGTATGAATT